AGTTGTTATTATATATATATATATATATATATATATATATATATATATATATATATATATCGCGGCTATAGAAACGAGCCGCGAGGCTCGAATAATCGTATCTCCTCTTCCAAAATCGTCCAATTTTTGTTTACCATGTGACGGACAATTTGAGAGAATTTACCGTAGTTAGCTCGAGGTGTCGATGGAAAAGTCTGACAATTGAATCTGCGAACGAAACAATTTTTGTGGATTGTTTTAATGTCCGGAGAGTTCGAGATTTCAGCGAAAATCGAAAGAGAATCAAGTATTTGAAGGTCGACGCGAATCGTCGACTACGGTTCGGCCCGTGATCCATAGATCGGATCGAGGCCGTGCACTCTCTCTATCTCTCTCTCTCTTTCTCTCTTTCTCTCTGTTGGTCTGATAACCGTGCACACCATAATTATCTCTATCTCACTCACTGTCACACGGCCAATGCTCTGGGTATGTCGTATGCTGGATGGAATTAACTTATACTCTATACTATATATACATATATATATATTGACTTCACCTAATAATTGACTTGATAGAACGTTCGATTGATTTTCTTACGATACCTTGGATTGAGACATGTTTACTGCTCTAACACACACTTGTCTGTCTCTGTCTATCTCTTCTATCTATCTCTCTCCGTACGATACTACCTATTACTATTGTTGTTGCGATGTTGGTGTTGTTGTTTATACCATATACATATATATATATACATACATACATGCATACATATATATATATATACCACGTATATATGTATATCATTGTATTGATGTTGATGTTGTTGTTACCTTGATGTTTTTTGATGTGTTGTTTAATCGTTGTTATCTTGCTGTTTGATGTTTGTTGTTGCACTATATATATATTCTATATATAATCTCTCTATATATATTCTATATATCATATATATATATACATACCTATATGTATATATACATACATGTATATATCCACATATCTCTGCGCGTGATACAACGTGCACGCGCGCGCGCGCGCTAGCACCCCGTCAGCAACAATAAACGGGAGTCGTTTTGTCGAACAGAAATCTCATACAGTAAGAAGAATCCTCGTGCAACTAACATCGTGCTTTATCGAACCGCTGGCCGTGCTATGATATTCATTGGATCACTATAGGAGTCGAAGAATCTCCTCGAACATACTCGAGAGCGCGCGCGCGCGCGTTCACGCGTATATAGGTACATGTACATTTCAGCCAGCCAGCCTCACGCTTGGAGTGCCTCGTATATACATATATACAGAAATCTGTCTATGTATACGTATATATACATATGTGTACACATATACACATATATGCATTGTATATATATGTATATATAGATATACTTAACACGATATAGTTGGTCGCCTCCCCTACCCCCTTGATACACCACTAAAACCACCCCCTAACAGACTTACAGCGGCAATCGTTATCTCTGTTTGCTCCCACTTCCATTAAACTCGAACTTTAATAACCTCCCGGCTTTATTAACGTTTCTTGGCGCGAACTGTTAACGTCGTCGTCGTTGTCGCCCGCGATCTAACATTCAATTAATCGAAACCCTGCTGGCCAACCTTTTTAACCCTGCTGCTGCGTCCTCCGTTTTAACCGAAACATTCTTCCAAAGTGTAACAGTTTCGATTGCAGTTTCAATCTTATTTTTCAATTCTTGCGAAAAATTATCGACATCGTGTTTATGACACTCGATAATCATAATTAAGGAAACAACGATTTGGCTAGGTCTAAAATGTTACACGATATAACAGTGGCGACCCTTTTGGTAATTCTGGGCTCTCGACCAACCCTTTGCACGCGAGCGGTGGCTCCGAGGCGCCATTAAAAATCGCCATGTAATTCATATAACAATTGTTTAGATTCGTAGTTACTGTTTAATTAATTGCTACATATTTAAATGTCGTATGCAAAAGCAACTGATTCGATATAAACGAAATGAGAACGATGACATAGAGCAAAGAATTCAGGTCAGAAGAGAAACGTCTGCGTCGTTGAGATTAAACAGCTCGACCCTCGAAGGGTTAACGGTAGACCAGTCCATCGTTGAAAGTAACTAGATTCACCCTATAAAAATAACAAGACTGTATTCATTCGAATTTCGTGCGATCTTTGCTGTAAAATAATTTCAATCGTCGTGAAATAAGAAACCGGTGGCGCGAACACCGTTGGTGCGTCTAGTTTAAAAGGGTTAAAGGGGCGAGCAGGACACAGCAGGGTTAATAAAATACCGCGGATTGTGACGATAATCTGGACGTTCCGGCGAGAATGATTCCAGCACGAGTATCGACTTGTTTCGAGGATAAAGTGAAGCGGTTGAAACAGGGTCGATTCGTCGGAAGATGGGCGGTCGAAGTTCAGGGGGTGGTTCACCGTGGCCCTAGCCGTGGCGGTCGGAGGATGACAGTGGTGAATTGTGTTTCAGGATTGCACTCGCCGCACGAAGGACTGGCCGGTGGTTCCGGTCAGAGTATGTCCGGGCTCGCCTACTATCAGCCGGAGCACCCTGCCTCCGCGGGGGTGGTCAAGTACCCCGAGAACGGTCACGACACCCTCTCGGACTTCGTCACGTTCGTCTGCCAGGAGGCCGAGAATACTCAGCAACTGCCCCAGGTAGCTTCCGGATCCTTTAAACCCGCCCCGTTCTCCAGTTTCGGTAATACAAACATTGCTCCGCTCCTAGAGTCAGTTCTTTCGCCGTCGTTGCCCAGATTTCTCTACCCCCGCGAGCTCGCAGCCGAGCTTAATCTAGATCTTTCTCCAATCCAGTGCATAATTCTGTTTATTTTGCTGATCGATGTTTGCATGATCGTAACGAGAAGAACGGGACGGTACTCTGCGACCTGCATCGTCATCCGTGTTCCAATCGCCCTGGATTCTACGAGCCTAATTCGCCTATGGTAGAGTTGGTAATAATTGGCATTTAGTATTATCGAGACTACGGAAATTGTTCTGTCGACGGTCGGACTCTGAACCCCTCGTTTATGGCGGCAATCCTTCACGAAATAAAGTGTATCTCGCATCCTTCTGTTTCCTCTCGAAAACGCTCCTCGATGCAACATTTAAAGGTTTATAGATCGTTTGAAAATATGGTTTCATAGTCCAGTGGCTGAAAGATTTACGAATGATCGAGAAAAACATCCCTGAAATTCGAACACGAAAAAGATCACAGAAGACCTTAAAAATTCGCAGAGGGTCTGGAAAACCATTCCTCAAAATCAAACATGGAAAATATCACGGGAGAAACTGAAATGAAACTGAAATTGAAGCTTCATCCCTTAAATTTGGAAATAAAAAAATCATCCCACATTAAATTCACAGAGGATCTAAAAATATTCCCAGCCGATCTAGAAAGACGTCCTTCGAAATCCAACATAAAAAAGTTTAAAGATCTCTCGAAAACCATCCCTAAATGAATAAAGATAATTTAAAAAAGTCACTGGAGAACCTTGGCGAGATCATGATCCCCATTTCCATTGCCGAACGAGGGGTGCAAGAGGTCTAATCTAATTAAAATAGTTCAATAGAAGAGATACAATGATCCATAAATCGGGGTGAGTGGATCACGCGCGGGTCGACGACGTTGATCGGTGGGTGTGTGGTATTTCCAGGCGCAGCTAGCCGGACCCCGCACTGGTATACAAAAGTTCTCTCAGTATTATCCGAGCTCGATGTTGCCGCCACCTCCGCCGGCCCCGATGGCGAGGCCGGTCGCGATAATCAGGTCGACGGGCGAATTAACGGCGACGAGTTCGAACTCACCCCCGACATCCTCGACGTCGCCGACGGACCCGTCCGAGCTGGCCCCGAGTCAGGAACAAATGGCTGCCGCCGCGGTGGGCCTCGTTGGATCCGGCTGCCAGAGCTCCGTCGATCCCGCCGGGAGGAAGAGTCCTGCGAGGATTCTCGTCACCGCACCCCACACCAGCCGGGAATACACCTTTGCTCATTTCCACTCCCAACCTGGACAGGTGAGCTCCCGTTTAAGCATAAAATGCGTGATAAAATTCTCCCTAATTGACGCTCCGATTGCGCACAAAAATGGAAGGGAAGAGGAAGAGTGGGAAGAGGAGATACAATTATTCAAGTCTTGCAGTCTGTTTTTATAGTTGTTGACAATCGATAACTATAAAAATGAGTTGCAAGACTTGAATAATCGTACCTTCTCTTCCCAAATTGCCCATTTTTGTTTCTAAGCTGAGCGTCAATTAGGAAGAATTTACTGTAGCCCGAGTACAGTAATTTCTCCCGGAAATGCCAAATCTCGGGTTGCTGCGAATTTCCCTGTGCTAGTTCTACGTCTATGAAATTTATTACTACGTCGATGCTAAGGGTCGACGGAGTCGGTCAAGCGTGCGATGCGCCACGCGACGTGAATTCCTGGTAAACGATACAAAATGCCTTTGAATCGTGTCATGTGACCTCCGAATTGCCTTCGAATCGTGGCGAAAAATTAGAAATAAAAAGGTTAAGTCATCGTTTTTATTCTAGCATTACTATGTATTCATATTAATGTGCACCGGCATGCTGGCCGTTACCTTTTTTGCCGACTGCTTCGAGTTTCCATAAAAACGAGAACCGCGAGAGTCGAAGAATCGCGATTTAGTATTCTCTGATCTGCCGGTTTCAATTCCGACCTCCGAACATTTGTGGGAGAAATTACTGTAATTTGTCTTCGCCGGTTGCTTCGGCATTTAGGCATTTAGCATAATACCGTTCTTTTAACACTCGCATGACGGATCGTGATTCCGGTGGCAGGGTCTCGCGAGACCCGTACCAAGCATCCATAGCATTTCACTTCCACTGATTTATTCCTTTTTTAATTATTAGACTGCGGATCTTTATGCAAAAATAAAACTTATCTTCACTAATTGCAAGACGCAAGAATCGTATATACATTTATTTATTTTCATAATCATTTTAACCAGTCGACAGTAATAAAATAACACTGTAAAATTGTTCAAACATGTTTGCTGATTTGCATGTGTATCACTCATTGGTCTCATAAATGCATAAAGTCCGCAATCTATGAATTATTGCTGGTATTGCCACAATGAAAGTTGATAGGAAATAAAAATTTATCTATTTTTTCTATTTATAATGAGTAATTCGTTACGTTTCCTTACACGCGATACATGAAGGTCACGAGGCCATCGTCGCGTGCGAGGGTTAAATCACAAAAAAGATTTCACTCGTTTCGTTCGACTTGATAAAGTTCGTTTTATTTAAAAAAGCGTCAACGTATTTTCGGCGGTGACTGTAAATTTAATTTTTCTTCCAAGACCTAATTGCAATCGAGAAACTTGGAATCGTTGTAACTGTGAAGGAAATGAAACAGCGCGGGATTAAGAGCGTTCCGTGGTAGGATTAATCCTGTGCACAGGTGTTTGATAAGATCTTCTCGGACTTTTCAGCAAATATTCACCTACCCCACGATCAGCTCCATGTCGGGGGTGATCTCCCCGACGAACCTCTCCCTGTTCTCGTCGCCCGTGTCGGTGACGAGGCCGGTGGCGACCCAGAGATCGGTCTCGAACGTGCCACCCCGTTGGAACACGGCGCCGTTCATCAACCTGGAGGACGACTACAACATGATCGCCCCTATCATCACTGGAACCGCCAGCGAGCCGCCCTCCGCCATGGACGAAGGTCGGTGATCGTTTGGATCGTATCTGCTAGCCATCCGTTGGATCGTAGCAAGTACAGGGTGTCCACAAACTTATACTATGCGTTATCGAGGTCAAACAGATTAAAAGATCCTTATAAACATATGTCCGAAGATGCTTCATTGATAAATGAATATTTGAAAAAATCCGAGAATCGCTGAGTCGACGAATGAAAACCCGTATTCTTGCAGTGGCAGATATTTTCAAACATTTCTTATAACCACCACTGTAAATCACGACGATCTGTAAAAGTTTATATCTTCTCAATGAAGCATTTTCGGAGCCAAATTGACACGAACGTTGTTCATCCGCTTGCCCCCGGCAACGCACAATCTATAAGTTTGATCGAAAGCTGCCTGGACACCCGGTATATTTGTACTGTTCGTTATACCCAGACTCGAAGGGATGTACAGTTTGCGCTGTGCATTGTCTTCCAGAACGATACTTCCACCCGGTGCACACGAGCAGCGTGGTGGACAAGAGCGGCGGTAGCATGATGGGTACGGAGCTGGGCGTGGCCGGGGACCCGACGTCGCATCACCACCAGTCGCAGCAGGCCCAGCAGCAGGCTCAGCAGCCGCAGCAACAGCAACAGCAGCAGCAGCAACAGCCGAACCAGCAACAGCAACAAGTGATGCAAGACAAAAGCGGCAGACCGAAGTCTTCCCCGTGACACTGGAGGCTCAGACCGGAAAGTCTCGAGAAGCTCGCATGTTCCACGGGGTCGTTACTCGCCGCCCCGTACGACAACAACAACCCCGAGCCGCCACAGCCGCAGCAGCAGCAGCAGCAGCCGCAGCCGCCGGACGGGAATCGCCAGGATTCCTCGTGTCGTGTTCACCTTCGCGACCAAAGCCCGCGGAGAATCGAGTGCCTGAGAGTCTGATCGTAGTTTAAGCCCTTAGCCGCTGAGGGGCCGAGGGACTTCCGGGTCAGCGGGAACCGGAGGCCTGGCCTGCCAGAACCGTGAGCCAAAGGATCGCCACGCGAAAAGATCGCCGCCGATTCGTAACGGACCTCCAACTCGGCGCCAATGTCTCGACCCTCTGAGGAATTCGAACGGGATAGCGCCTACGCCCTTGTCCGAGCTTCCTTCACCCTCCTTTGGACCCCGGAATTCGTCCTCGACTTCCCGGTACACGATTCGAGAAGGAAACAGACACCCTCTTCGGCGACTTCTGCCTTCAGTTTTCAGAATTCAGAGGGAAACGAAAACGCGAAACGTTTCCTGTTTCAGGAACATTGTTCTCCAAGGCAGAAGTCACCTTCTAGGCCTGGGTTAGGTCTCTCTCGGGCCGATCCTCTAAAAGGGAACAGTTTAATCCTCTTCGGCGACTTCTGTCTACAGTTCGATGGATTCGGAGGGGAATGAAACGTCAAGCGTTTCCTGCTCCAGGAACATTGTTCTCCAAGGCAGAAGTCACCTTCTAGGCCTGGGTCAGGTCTCTCTCGGGTCAATTCTCTAAAAGGGAACAGTTCGATCTTGTTCGAGGACCTCTTGGTACATTCCTTTAAGATTGAAGCTGTCCAAGTGAAATTCCCTGTCAAGCATGAGCTATCGAGTTATCTAGACTGTTCAGGATTCTCGTTTTCCAAGAGAAAAATGTTGTCTTCTGGGTCCGGGTCAGGTATTTCCCAGGTCGGAGCTCCGAAACGCTAAGAATTCGATCCTCTTTGGGGACCTCTGACTCTTTCATCGAAACGAAAGTGCCCCAACAGTCTAGTTAGCAATCCCAGCCCATCTAGAAATCGGCATCTAGGTCAGGCCAGGCCTAAATTCACTTGTCCTTAATCCCGCATACTATTGACACAGATCTAAATTGAGTTTTCGATTCCGAGACACAGAGATGGTCCAGGCCCAGCCGGTTCGAAGCCCCGACCACCCTCAGAGGGTCAATTATTCGGTCAATTATTACTCCGCTCCTGAAAGTGCGAAAGCCTCCGCGACCGGAAGCGCGATCCTCCTCCCTCAGCGTACAATTCGCGTAACTCTGTGTCTGTCTCTCTCTCTCTCTCTTTTTCTCTCTCAAGCGTCCTGAAGAAGGACCCCTCATTTCGTCTCCTACCTAACATGTCGCCGATCGGTCCCGTCGACCAAAAGCGATTGTCGAACAAAAAAAGATAAACAAACGAGTGCCGATCGTCAAGCATGATCGTGCGTGGACGAGAACGATGACGACGAAGATGATGACGACGACGATGATGATGATGATGATATGATGATGACGATGATGATGATGATGATGATAATGATAATGATGATGATAATGATGATGATGATAATGATGATGATACTGATGATGGTTATGATGATGATAATGATTATAATGATGAAGAAAGACACGATCTTCCTTCCTGTTCGTCCACGGAGGAACAAAGAGGAAACCACTAAAGCGTTTTTGTACATACACGCGGCCCAGTTTGTCGCACACGCCGGGCGTCGTATTTTGTAAAATTTTAGAGGACCCTAGATTAGTATTGTGGAACGTGTACGACAAGGACGACAAAAGTATGCGAGAGCCTCTCGCCGCCGTCACCGCGGCGGACGAGGCCTCGGCGAGGATGATTTTCGAACGTGAACGAGGGGAGAAAGGGGATTTCTAGTGCCAATCTCGAGTAGCTTATAAATATTATAACGAAATTATAATTTTTCTATTATATTTTTTTATAATATTTATGAAGGAACACACACGCTTGTTTAGACGCGCGACGGTAACGGGAGGCGTAGGTGTCGAGACGTTCAACGGACGCTTCATCTCGACGAGTCGAAAACGTGTTTTTACAAAATGGAAAAGCTAAACGAACCAAAAACAAAAAAAAAGAGAAGATGAAATAAAATGAAGCGAAACGCAGAAGCTATATGCAACGCGGAATAAGAGAGAGAAGAAAGAAAACAATGGAAAAGCCGGGGGTTTGAGCACGGCCGAGGGGAACCGATCGACGAGCCTAATGAACGGTCCACGGAACCACGAAACAATGGAATCAAAAATATTTGTCGTCTAAGATCGCTCGGGCTGGTGCCGGCCGTTGAAACGGAAGCGAAGGAGGAGGATAAGTAGGAAGACGACGACAAGGAAGAACACTAGTGCGGACTAGACACCAGAGGCTGCTAGTTAGAAACAAAGTGAATAATATTTAATATTGATTACTCGATAAATTAAGCGGTTAAATAGTTAACGAGACGCGTTTTGGCGCGAAGCAATTGATATATATATATATATAAATATATGTAATGTTAGAGAGGAAACGAGAGGATGACGATCGAGGAGACACGCTGGGGAATAGTGTGAGACGCGCGAGTGGCGCGGACGGGACGCGGATAATTACGAGATAGTGAGAGATTAATCTATAGTCCTATTAACTAATTAGGGAGTTTAGTGTAACGCGGGGGTTACGCAGCATCGTACTCGGCGACAACGAAGGTCCTAACTACTGTCCGAAGTGCTTTACGAGACGGAACACGGGAACTCCTCCGCTGCCAAATCGTCGCGACGATTAACACGGAATCTCTCGGAAGCGGTTGATTGAACCTAAACGAATCTCATATTTTTCGAAACGGGGCCCGGAGACACCGGCAGCGGAAGGGTTGCAAGCACGAGGGGCGTCCTGTCCAGTTTGTAAATCCTCGGACACCTACAGGGCGGCCAGAAACTCTCTGTCTCTCTTGTAAGAAATTTCTATGGGCGCTCGAGGCTGTAAAGTGACGAGATCTCTCGAGCTTTTCGTTTTCGCGCGGTATCGTTTCGACGCGGCGGATTTCTGCGCGCCCTGTATTCGTCGAGGAGACCCTAATTAAAAAATGCGCTTAATATACTCGCTAGATGACCAGATAGTTCCGAGGCGGTTCTTCTTTGGGTTTTGTAAAGTCACTTCCCTGTTTTTCTCTCTTCGAGTGAGGTTGAAAGGGTGCGCCGGCCTCCTGCCCATTATCGATACCAATATCGTTTCTTTCCCCGTGGCATTTTCGAAACAGTATGGTCGCCATTCTATTCTCATGCTTCTCCTACACGGTAACGCTGTTCTCGGAGCGCTTGCTGATTTACTAATATCCTTTCGCGATAACACGGTTTCGTTGGAACATTGCAAGTGGTGCGTTAGTTTCGATCGGAATTGTGTACACTCGGATATTGTACTATTCTAAGGTCGGGAATCGACGATTTCTTTCTTTCGTTCGAAAGCTGGAAATGATTGTGGAAGAAGACAAGCGGTGCAGCTAATGTGGAGGACGCTCTCGAAGGAAGAGCTCTAAGTAGGCAGCCATTTTGGATTAGTCTGTCCTCTCCGCGACTCTCTAATTAATATTGATCTATCGAGCTCAACTTATCTTTTTGTCTCATCTTGTTTGACGCAACAGTTGCTTTTAAACCGGCCCAAAAGGGGGATAATGGGGAGAAGGGTGGCACCCTGTCGACCGGTTCGTAGTGATAGTACAAAGAGATCGAGTGTAGCAATATCGGTAATAGCAATAACGATTGTCAATAAGGGTCGACGCGGCGATACGACGCTATTATTCCTATTAAAGAGACAACAACAACAAAAAATGCTTGTAACGCTATTAACGCTATACGAAGGCGACGATAATACCGCTGCAACTATTGTTAATACTACGAGGAGACTACTACTATTATTAACTACTACCACGATTACCACCACCACCGCCATCATCGTCAGCGCCGCCATTAAAGAGGAAAAGAGAAACGAGATGATGATACCACTTTACCATCACCACCACCGCTCTACCACCACCACTACTACTACTATTATTACTACTACTACCATTACTACTACCATTACTACTATTACTATTACTACTACAACTATTACTACTATTACTACTATTACTATTACTACTACTACTATTACTACTACTATTATTACTACTACTACTACAACTACTACTACTACTACTACTACTACTACTACTACCACTACTACTACTACAACTATTACTACTACTACTACTACTACTACTACTACTACTACTACTACTACTACTACCACTACAACTATTACTACTACTACTACTACTACTACTACTACCACTACTACTACCACTACTACTACTACTACTACTACTACTACTACTACTACTACTACTACCACTACAACTATTACTACTACTACTACTACTACTACTACTACTACTACTACTACTACTATTACTATTACTACTACTACTATTACTACTACTATTACTACTACTACTACTACAACTACTACTACTACTACTACTACTACTGCTACTATTACTACTACTACTACTACTACTACTACTACTACAACTATTACTACTACTATTACTACTACAACAACTACTACTGCTATTACTACTACTAAACTAGTACTACAACTATTACTACTACTACTACTACTACCACTAAACTACTACTACTACTAAATTACTACTACTACTAAACTACTACTAATTACTACCAGCGCTATTATAAACAAAAAAAACTTTAACTCGCTACTACTTATCACCGCTACACTTAACTATTAATTGTAAAGGCGAAAGGGACACTACCGCTTAGAGCTGTTATTACTACACCGCCTACTTCACTATTAACGTACACCAGTTACTGAAGGGACGAGGAGGTACGCTACTATCGCTGACTACTACTACTACTATTACTACTACTAATTAACTACTAATCGCTTTACGAATACGGTTACTACGGGAGAGAACGATTGTTAATTGTAAATATCCAAAAGAGACGATAGGGTAAACGAGCGGCCAGGCTGGGGCACGTTATTCTCCAATGCGATCTCGTTTGTCTCGTTTTTTTCCATCAAATTTCGCTGCGGGAAGTGATGTCGATTGATACGTGTCCCTATAAATTTTTATAAAATCAAGCAACGATGCCTCCGAACACGTTTATACAATTTTATAGACTGCTTTACACGAAGGAAATTCATAGATAAGTATTCACTGGTTGAAAATAATTTTGTCGACTTACAACGAAACTAGAAAGTTCATTGACCTTCGACGAATCTTCGGTTCGTTTCGATTTCGATGGAAAGTATGTTTGTCTGACCAGCGGCACTACCTGTTCCACTTGCCCGATCATAACCGCTATTGTCTCGTTCCGAACATTCGGTCTAGATCCTAATCGATCCGCGCGCGGCTCGGTGCTCGTACAGGTACACCAACGAAACGGGGAATAAATTTGAGGAAAGATCGGATCGACTTCATCTCGCAATCACTTTTCGCAACACGAACGATTTATGAAACAAAACACCGTGCCTCAGCCTGAACGATTCCAGCAATTACATTACTACGCACAGAGGCAGGGAGGCACGCGAACGAACCTAAACTCCGGATCTATAGGTCCTGCAAAAGACAGGGTGGTTTCCACCCCTCGACGCTCCGCAGCAATTTTAATCTTTCTGAAAATAGAAAGGAGACGACGCATCTCGTCGGCTATTTTCACCCCTTGCTTTCTGACATAATATTAAAATCACGGTCGAGAGATTTAACGGTCAACAGACCGCGGACTCACATTTTTATACCGAAATCGCAGTAAGAATGAAGTCATCGGTGATGTCGATAAATGAACAAAGCTGATGCAAAGAAAGATCCACCGACTGAAGTTCGGCGAGTTAAAATAACACACGCCCCTTTCTTTCTGAATAAATTATTAAAAATAAAACACCGCTGACGCAGTTTATGGGTCGCGGTTGAAGGGGCGGAAAATCTTGGAGAGTTTCCGTTATCGCCGTGAATAATTTCTGCAGACGTCGTGCGACTATAAAAAGACCCGGGAGCAAAGGTGTCGGCGATTGCGGGGGCGTGCGAGGGGTTGAAAGGCGCGGAGGATTTAGAAAGGAATTTTTTAATGCTTGCCTCTCGACGGTGTTAGGGGATCGAGCGTGGCGAGGCCTCGTGTTCTTATTTTGTTAATCGACTACGGGGCGCCGTTCTAGCCGAGAGACGACCGCGAATAACGAAAGGGGTGGTTCGGGATATTATACTGACGCCACCGCGAACGCTCATTTTCTCGCTGACTTATAGTTCGTTGTTCGGTCGCGCTTGCTGCCGAACGGTGCAGCGGCTAGGGGTAGAGTGCCAATTAGGGTTAGCCTTGTAAATTGTAAACTAGCTTTAGGTCTTCCTAACGAAGGTGCAGGACGGTGCTTTTTAGGTGAAACGAACGAAAACACTGGACAAGCAAAAACGAGGAACGATATTATAATAAATCGTGCGACCGCGACGCGTGCCGGTCGGACACCCACCCTGTCAGGTTTCCGCTCAAAAATCGAGCCCTATTTGGAGGCAATGTCGAACTTGCGTCACCAGAACATTTTGTATAGCGTCTCGAGCTGCCTTGAACCGAAAGTGCATTAAAATATCGTCCGCGTCCACTGGCCAGCCACTTCCGGCCGCCCGAGATCACTTTCCACCGCCAATTTCACACCGATTTCGCAACCTTCAAAATTATCTACTTACTACGATCCTCTGGTATTTGAAACGATTTAGGCTATTTCGACGCAGTACTTGAGCCTTGGGATTTTTGTCTCAATCCAGGAGTCAGAAATTTGCAAATATTTTGCAAATAATCGTGGATCTACTTAAACCTAGAATTTCAATTCTCTGCAGAAGCAACCCCTAATTGTAAATTCTGCTGCGCAAGCAGGCCGCAAAATTTTATTCGAATCTCGATTTTGATACGCTCTTTTATAGGAATTCGCGTCAGGGAAAAAGTGTGCTCAGAAATAATTTCTCCTTGTAAAAATCGGATACGTTATTTTAATTCCGAGCGATCCACGAATTTTCTTACGGTTTACGGATCTGAACGCATAAATATCCGTAGTCTGAAATCGCTCGTTACAGGTTTCGGTGGTTCCCGAGTTTGTTTGTTAAATTCGTCGAGGGTGGTTTTTCGGAGATCGGTGGCCTCGGGTCCGACCGGAAGTGACGGGGGACCGCGCGCGAGGACTTTTTCTACGTAAGATAGACTTTTTCTCTAGTAGATTCGAGGAACGATAAAGGACGAAGCGAAACTAAGGGGGCGCGGGGAGAGCGACGAAAGTTAATTAAGCGCGTCTCGATCGGGTTCCCGGGGGTAGAGGGACGACTCGATATCCCGGACCACCCGTCGACGAGGGGCGAGAGTGAGCGTGTATAAATAGCGATCCTCCATTCGAGAGGGCGACGTGTAACGGTCGCGGAGATTTTTCGGTGCTCGGAGGGACGATGGGAATTTCGGTGCCGAGGATCGAGGGGTTGCGACCGGGGTAAACTAACAAATTCGCTAGACATTAAGCTTGCCAGGGACTGAAGATTTACACTGTGAACGTACAGGCACAGAGGGCAGAGGACACGGTGACACGTAGCCACCGTTCATTTCGACGACAGACGCGTGTCGGAAGTATGCGAGGGGGTTTAAGGGATTCTTTTTAGAAAAATGTTCTTTTCGTAACGTTTAGGGTGGGGCCGCGTCGAATGGGTTCGAATAGGAATTTTCTAGTGTGCACGCGAGGCGGCAGGTTCAGCTACGAGAATAACGATAACAATAAACAGTAATAATAAATATTAATAATGATAATATTAACGAAGTTTAATTACGGTAAACGAAGATACGGTTAACTGATAATTAATTGTAAAACGGAGAGCGAACTACGGCGATGATAACATAGTGCGATTATTAATTATTACTATTAACTACGGCAATACGATGATATACATATATTATAAACGAAATACAATGATATATTTATCGAATATTTATTGAGCAAACGAAAATAGCACACTGTGTAGTATGGTTGTACAAAGTAGGCGACGAGGCGACGAAAAACGAACGCGTGTTTCTTTTTCCTTTTGTTTCTCGGGGTTGGAGACGTCCTCGGGGGTGTGCCGACCCTCGTCGTTGGGGCTGCAGACATTTCCTTTCGGTTGCTCGAGACACACCCTCTGAACGCATTTCGTTCGAATTTCCTCGAAAATTCATGATCTGCTGCTCGGGACAACGATTTTACGAAATCCGAAACAGTCTCGCGAGGGTTGAAAATATTTGTTTAATGCCGCTTTCTCTAGACGAAAACCAGTTCGACGGTAATGTTACGAAAATCAAAAGATCAGAGTTCCCGGCTGAGAAAGAGTTCTGCAACCCCATAAGGTCGTCGCAGGGCACCCCGAGGCCGCGGAGGACACGGCGAGGGGGTGGTACCGAATGTGTTTTCGTCTGACGATCCTTTTTTTTACGATTGTGAACGAGGTTCATGTTATATATCAGGGATTAGACTAAATAGTATAATACGCTGCGAGGGAGGTGGCAGGAAAAGAGAAAAATTACTAAGGAATATTACTAACCGAGGGTGGTTGGCCTTGGGGGAAGCGGGATCGAGGGGGAGAGCTGTGACAAAGGTGGTGATAGTGGTACCGGAAAGGGGTGCAGACGAGTCTGTCGTCGCGTCTCCGTAGAAAGATCCGCGGGGGCGGTGTTTAAGCGAATAAATCAAATTTCTATACTCGATTTACCCGGACGAACCACCCCCCCAACCCCTCCCCTGTTTAATAAATAATTGTAACGATAAGAGTAATAACGATAACGTATAGGCACAAATTGAGTAGGAAATTGTTAACGGATAATTTGATAAATTGTTACGAAGCTTACGTAGTATATTCTCGTATGATGTTTGTTTTCCTTTTTAATATATATATATTAAAAAATATATATATATAGGTATATATTATACATATACCCTTGTATATTTAATAATAACTGCGTCCTACGAAGATTCTTCTTTCTACGGAGACTCGATGTGTATTTGTTCGTCTTCGGGACTTTAATGCTTAAGAGAAACTTCTTGTGATAAGCGTGGAGAGACCTCCGCCCACGGTTCGGGCTGTAGAAAGAAAATAAAAAAGCAAACAAACAAACAAAAAAGCGAAAACCAAATGAACATAATTAAAACGAGGAAAGAAAAAAAATTAAGAAAACAAATAATAACGCTAATAAGGGGAGAGAAACAAAGAGATTCGGAGGTGTAAAGTAACGACCTTAAGAAAAATAATTCGCGATTTCGAGCTGGCAACCCTCCGACGAAGGGACACTGACAAGGGAGAGGCTTCTTTGTCACCTTACCGCGCCAATTATACGTTGTGTCCATACTGTCTCAATTAATATAATGTATTATATTATATATATAATATATATATTATATATATATCCGACAATATTGATTATTAAAAATTCTTAATATATAAAACGAAAAACAGCTGACGTTTTTTTCTGACGCACTTACCCTCTCCACCATGTACCCCAAATGCCACTGTTTTGGTCCAATCCCAATTCATCCCCTTTCAAATTTCTAATTTTTACAAAACCCGAAATATTTTTCGTAGACCCCAAAAAAAAGATCTCCATTTTCTGGAGATCTCGAAAACTCTTGTTGTCGATCTTAAGTGCCTTCCCGCGGTCCCAAATATATTTCCTGCTGTCCAATATTTTCATCGGGAGCTCTAAATATTTTTTATACACTTTTAAGTGTTCTCTGCGAGGCCTGCAAATGTTGCAGACCCTAACCGCTGCATTTCAAAGGTCATGAAGGATTTAGAAGGCCAGTGCACAGGGCACAGATAACGATTAATTTCCTGTGGAGATGAAGGGTGATTAAAGAGCAAAAGGCACGTCTGAAAAAGTGAAGTACAATTTATTATCATGCGCAGCCATGTTGACATTCGGTGCACCATTGCGAAAATAATTCCAAGTACAATAATACGCGCGTGTACGACCGCGTACTGGAAGTGACGCAATCCTCGCGCTCTCACTCTACATATAAAGATATCGTAAATAAAATATATATATATATGCATGTATGTATATATGTATGTATGTATGTATGTATATACATATTTATACGCATCTGCGTGTGTATATCTGTACAACCTGCGGACACACGACCCTACAAAATAATGTCTACCTAACCGCTAAATTTTCGTCCTGTTCATCTTCCACCCCTCCGTGGTCCTCCATCGTTCTTCCGTTATCATTCCGTCAGCCTTACAATGTGTACTCTACGAGAACAAAAACTATAATGATAATTACAATTTCAGAGATCACACTTCGGGTCGGTGTTAAATTAACAATATCGTCCACGAATTTCCACGCGGTGTTCACAAACGAAATTCACCAACGAACTTATATACAGATTCGAATCGATCGAAAACTCTCTCTCTCCCTCTCTCTTTCTCTCTCTGAGAGAAAGACACCTGTTCTCTCGACGATGTAAATAGAAACGAGACAAATCACTCGAGGTAAGTACTGATCAACCGGAAGTTATAGTCCGCAGGACCGCGAGTGTAACGAATACAAAATTAATCGATTGAGCAATCTAAGGCGCGAATTAAGTGACGCACGGTCGGCGAAGTTTTCCAAAAGAAAAAAAATGCTCGCCTCGGTCGTCGCGCAACGATCGCGAAAAATATCTTTGATCGACCCGTTTTAGGATCGAACGAACGGTCTCCGCACGATTGTTTTAGTAAGAAGAGGAATGTGGACGCGTTCTAGCCGAAGAAGCTCCGTTTCAAAATCGACGGACTGGTCTTTTTTTAGCAAGGGCCGCGAGCTCAACGAGGCGACGAAGGGACTTCCGGTCTACGAGAATAGACGGAGCCGTGGGTAATCGGAAACCAAGGACGGAAGTCGTTCTATGTAGCTCTACGCGCGAGCTGATCGGACTCGAAATGGAAACACCTGCCCAAGAAAATACTAATCATCGTTATTAACCGCTTCTCCTTGTAAATCGCTATGTAAAAAAGAAAAAATAAGAGAACAATCGACAGAAATGTAAAACTGTGAATCCCTGTTTGATCGGCAACCATCCGGACCACCGATGCCATGCTGGCAAATCGTTCGAACCCTACGCTTTAAACTAAATAAATACACGTCGGAATACTTCTGGTAAAAGTAAATGCTTCTTGTACGTTCCCGACCGAAGTACTCGAAACTCTAGCTGCGCTCGTCCCTCGCGAAAATACTTTCTCACTTTGTGCACGCCGATTCACCGTGCTTAGGCGTGCTAAAGAAGATACTGCTACTGTAATACCATCGAAGACGAAACTTTTGATTGGCGGGTTCGGATAGCCGAGTGTTCGACGTGCTTGAACCGGCTTTGGACGCGTTCGAACCATTTCTGAGCGGCTCGCGTCTTCCGGAGACGACTGTGAAAGCTTCAGCTGCGACGTCGAATCACGTTCGTGCTTGTTCGAATCGGTTCAGAGTCGTCGAACGCGTCCAAACGTTCGCGAACCGCGACAACGCGTCACAGAATCCGAGCCGACGCTCTCGGATGCTTCGAACGGGACTCTCTTCGTCTCTGGCGAACCGCTCGCGCATCTGAAACCTGTTCATACGTGTACCTACACCATCCTCCAGGAACCGAAGCTGTAAAACCGAGTGTCTGAAGGAGAACGGCTAGTCAGACTATACGCTCTATCGAAACGTAACTTAAGTTAAAACTCTATGTAAGTTAATATCGTCTGAAATATCATACAAGACAGAGTAATCTCTCCGTGCACCGAATACTACAGCGATCGCGACGTGAGTTCTCACGTTAAATTACGAAAAACGCGCGAACCGCGACCAAAAAAACCTCGGTCGCGTTTTAATACAAATTCCCGCCGCGAGTTTGAGCCATTTTAAAAACGCTTTCCACGCTCTCTGTCCTTTCAACTCGCAACGATCTCGAACTCCTCCCGACTCTCTCTCTCTCTCTCTCTCTCTCTCTCTCTCTCTCTCTATTTTACAAGGTCGGACCTCTCGCTCTTAAAAAAATAGTTTCTCGTTCGACGCCCGCGTTCGGAGAGCTGCGAACGGCTCCGTGACTCGACGAGCCGTTCGTCAACACGCTCGTCGCGGTGTTCGCTTGCATTGTACGCGTTGCCGTCGTGAGTCCTTCGTCGAAGTGTTCTATCGGGCGATGTTTGAGCTTTGTAAAATAGTTGATCGACGAAGTACGACAGCGAGCGTGTTAACAGAGTCCTTCCGAGTAAAAACATCCGCGCAGCAGCCATTTTGGTTCTGGCCGAGGGACACCCTCCCATGAAATCGCGCGACTAGCAGGCCAACTTTCGCGATTTATTTTCGAAAAACTGAACGACACAGAATCGGGAAAGCTTTCCCGATGGATTCGAGCATGATCGGATAACTCGCGCGAATTTTTTCACCGGCCTGCACTCGACAGTTTTCGGTGGACGCAGCCTCGACCGATTTACGGTCCCCAAGACGCGTTAATTTCGAAACGCATTGAACGAAGCTGTCCCGAATCGTCGAGTCGGAAAAACGTCTCCGCAGCGCTGGATCGTGCCAGAATCTACTGCGAAAAGTTTCGTAGTTCTAGGGTCGCTCGTCACCTCGTTAATAAATTCTTGAGGATGGCCTAGTTTCGGGCGATTTGTCGGGAGGTTGGTGCCGAGGAGTTGAGCGAAAAGAAAGGGAACATCGGCCGAGCATCGTGCGAATTTAAACGAGATCCTGTGTCCGTGAAGTCTACGACGAGTGTCTACCGTCCTGGAAGAACACAGAACCAGGCACAGCGTCGTTCAATGTTCGTAACATTGTTCGGTGTCCGAGGGAAGTTCGGCGGAGTGGCCGGACGCCTGCTCGAAAGGCAACAAACGTCGCGCGAAGGCGTCCTCTCGCAGATGCTCACCTGCGACTTTCGGCTCTGGCCAAGCATTGAAATGTGCACATACAAAAGCTCTCGGATCGTTCGAATATTTCTAGAATGTCGGAACCTCGAATGTAGACACTAAACTCTCGAATACGAAATTTTTAAAATTCTAAAGGATCTCGAAGGCCGGTTCTTCGTGATCTTCTTCGAGATTTGCGCGTCGCAAACGACAGATCTCAGCCGAAGGATCACGAAATTTGCGATCTCCGGTTTCCGGAGACCCCGATTGCCGAATTGGAAAATTGGCGATCCTCGATTTCCGACTCTTCGAGTTCCTCAAGCTGTCTTAGTTAAAAGTTGTCGCTGCTTTGGCGTCGCAAATTCTTGCTCTTCCGGGTCTGCGACGTTTGCTTTTCGAATGTCCGAGGATTCTGGACGCTGTACAGACATCTCGAGAGCTGCTGGATGCCTGGAGGCTTCGCAGAAATTGTCCGGAATCCTAGAGACTCGAAATATAAAGCGAACGTTCGAGTCTTTGGATGTCTCGGTGCGCTCGATTCGCGAGCGACATCGATCGATCGAAGGAACTATGTGACTTCAATGCCGTCGGATGCTCTTCCGGTGATTAACAGAAACAGGTCCTCTCGTGAACTGGTTCTTGAACTCGTCTCGTGAACACGTTCACTAGTTGGCAGTGTACCCTGCGAACACGCAGAACGTTCCACAAATTTTATTGTCTGGTTCCGTTAGAATAATGTCAAGCTGATTTCAATTTCAGCCGAATTTATGGGAGCCGTAGGCGCTCGCAGGTGCGTTTACCTGATTTTCACGTTCGAGTTATCGATCACTTCGCCGTCGCAGTTCCACACGCTTAAGCTTGACTTCATGTAGCGGGTGTCGCTCTGGTTATCGGACTGCATGTGCAACGTTGGCAGCGCCCGGAATGTGAACTCTCTCGCTCTGTACACCTCGACGAACGGCAGGTCGTACTTGAATGAGAAAATGGTGACGGTCGATATTAATATCTTTATAAAAAAATTTAATTTCTTTTAATTTCGTTGTTTATCCCAAAAATATCTCGCGATCTGGAAATGAGAGGTTCCTGAGGTCATTTGAAGTAACTTTTTCCTTACCGAAAATGCAATCCGCGGCTTTGTTTACGAGTTATTGACGAAAAACGCTGGCCAATGAGAGACGAGTTCGGCTGGCGCGGGGTGGCCCAGCCAACGAGCGCACGAAGCCCAGTTCCGCTCATTGGCTCGCCTGCCAGCTGGTCTCGCCTCTTATTGGTCAGTGTTTTACATTAATAACTCGTAAACAAAATCGCGGATTGCATTTTCGCTAAGGAAAAAGTTACTTCAAATGACCTCAGGAATCCCCCATTTGCAGATTGCGAGACATTTTTTAGACACCCTATATATTTAAAAGAATCTCTTTGTGAAATTCTAAAAATCCGCGTTATATACTTGTTAGCAAAATCTTATTGCCAGTTTTGCAAATATTAAATGTTTCTTTGATTGAAGAAAATTAAATTCTTTTAATTATACACATAGTGTGTTAAGAGACTACAACCTATTTCTCCGATAGCTGAACTCACGAATCTTTATGCAAAGTAACAATTTTCCAAGTCGACGAAATTTTCCGATTCACAATTTTCTGCTTCAATTGTTCATCAACTTACTTTCGCAATCTTTCGCTAGAATCCTTTAAATTTTGCAATATTTTACAATTTTCTGCTTCAACTGTTCTATTACTAGATCTGTTACTATAGTCCCTTAAATTCTGTAATATACATATACAAGTCTTCCTAATCCTCGACGAAAACCGTATCAACGCCAAATGAGATCGGTATTAGGTCAGGGCCGGGCGTACGCTAATCGTAGAATCGCTGAGGAAACTTGAGATAGGTCCGGGTTAGAGCTATGCGAAGGTTTTAATTAGGCCTGGGTTAGAATCATGTTATATTTAACTTGGATAGGAGATGCGTTAGGTGTAAACTGTTAGGCCCGTCGATGGATTATTACTTCCACCAGTCGTAAACACAGTTCTCAAATTTTCTCTTCGACGAAAATCACTCTAGAAAGCTTCTTAAGGAGGGAGGGGCTATCCTATGAACATCAGCTATATCAGTAATTTTTGAAATGAAGTTTTGAAAATATGTGTTTTCACAGCATTTCTTACGACAAATTCAAATATGTAGAAAATAATTTCGTAAATATATATTTTACGTAAGAAAAAACTTTCTTTCAGCAAAATCATCGGAGCGTGAAATCCGTACCCTTATTATTTCAATACCGTGGATATATGCGGTAAAAAAATGTCATCTCAAAAATGTTTCAAAAATGTTTATGAAAGTTATAACGTTTTTAATATTGCTATATCACCTAAAATTACCTCAAAAATATTGCAATAGAAATAAACGGGCAACCACACATTGGAAATGGTTTTAAGGTAAGATAATAATATAAGTAACATAATAATATAAAAAAAATTTAAGTAACATAATAATATAAAAAACGTTATAACTTTCACGAGGGTATGAATTTCGCGATCCGACGACTTTTTCGAAAGGAAAATTTTTATCTTGCGTAATAAATATTATTTACAAAATTAATTTCTGCATATTTGAATTAGTCGTAAAGAATGTTACAGAAACACATATTTCCCAAATTTTATCTTAAAAATCACTGGTAACTGATATTCACAGGGTTGACCTCGCTTAAAGCTTCGCTTACCAAAGTCTTCTGTTTGCTGGACAGCCTGAGCAACATCCTGATGTTATTAAATAGAGAAGTATGACGAACTAGGATCACGTCGACGCAGCCGTCGCCGACGTGGCAATGGGGACTGAACCCCATCGGACTCCTGGAGCAAGCGCAGGCCAGATTAGCGCCGTTCACCATGAAGAATTTGCCTCGGACCGTCATCCATGCTGAAGCAGAATGCATCGATCGATCGATCGATCAATTCGTTCGACACGGATATACGATGCAAACGATAGATTGGACCGCTTACTGGATATCTCTTTGTCGGGGACGCTGTTGTGCATGTGCTGCAAACACCTGCTGCAATTCTTGGTGCATCTTGTACTCATCGCTGGGTGGCAGGGGTCCGATAGCAGGTGGATCTCACCCTCGTACCCTTTGTTCGCCAGGATCTTTTTGAACCCTGCAATCACATTGTAGTACATGCTATTTGAGAAGCCATTTTGCAAAATTATTAGACATTTTTCGAGGATATCAGAGAAGTCTGAAGGTTTCTGGATGATTTTGTATGCCTTTGAATAAATTTGGACAGTATCAAGCACCTTAACGCTAGGTTTAATTGTGCCCATAATTATGAAAGTGGTCTAAGTCAAAATTAAAAAAAAAAATGAATTTATCACTTATTTCACACGACATGATTTTAAACTAAATTTATTCAATGTAATTTTTACGATATCGTCAAAAATGAACCTTTAGATAGTAGTTGTAATTACAACATTATGCGGAATTCATTTAGTGTTAATTATGAAAGTGGTCTAAGTCAACAATTTAAAGAAATTATATAATAAAAATTATATGATAAAAATGGATTCCTTTTTAAAAATGATTAATAAATGTTTATGAATTATTTCGTTAAAGTTGTTGTTTCAAATGGACCGTTTATTTTGAAAATGGTATAAGTTCTTTTTTTTTTTAAAATTCAAAATGCCGAATCTGAGCTTGTATTGTCTGAATACCCCACGCAACGCCACTTACAATTTCTTTCGATGACATTGGACTTACACCACTTTCAAAATAAACGGCTCAAATAAAAAATCACAATTTTTTATTACTTTAAGTCAATTATAGGACATTCAGTTAACTTTGAAAATGGTCTAAGTCAATTCAAGCTTTAAAAACAACATTTTCCTATGAAATTCACACAAAATTTCATATCTATAATAAATTTCCATTAATCAAGACTAATAAAATTATAAATTAAAATGTCGCATAATGTACAAATATTTTTTGATTTATTCAAATGCGATTCATTAAATATCTCGAAACAAGAAATATATGACTTAGACCACTTTCATAATTATGGGCACAATTGACACTGATTTTGTGACTTACGATTATACAGATTGTAATAATTTTATGCGTTCATGACAAAAATGAATATATCGAATTCAAAATAGCAAAAACATTTGAACAGTTTGAAAATATTATTATATAATATAGTATAAATATACCCAGATCTCATCAAACTTATTAAGAAAGGTATATTTTACAATTAACGTAGACAATTTTTATTTTGCATAAAAATGTGGTAATATTACAACAACGCTCTTCAAAATTCAGAATAAATGTCTTATTGTTACCTTTATAAATAAACGGCGGATCTTCATGCAAAATAGAAACTTTCTTCAAAAATTGCAACAAACAGAAACAAGACAAAAATTTCGATCTTTATTTCATATTCTCAATGAGTTATTGATGATAAATGGATTACGCTGCATTCTCTTAATCTCTATACTGATTCAAATTCTGTCAACCTAGTTTTATCGCATAAAAAGACTAATAATAAAACAATCGCTTTTACTGCTCCGTGAATCTAATATTAAACAAATTTCGACGAACGACCGTCAAGAGCTCAGAAATACTTGAACAAAGATGAGAGAACATTGAGAGCCCGATAGCACTTTAGATAACCTTGGATGATTCCGGGGAACCACGGCTGACCTTGAAACGTCATGAAGGAACGGTGGTTCGGCCTCGAATAAATTCGTGCAATATCAAGAACCCAACGGAAACGTTTCCCTCGAAAAAGTGGGACGTTGAGAAAACGGGAAGCCATCGGGTAGCAATGAAATAAAAATAGTACCTGCACGCTGTGACATACGGGAGCATACGGAAAGGTACCGCGAGTCGACGTTTCGAGATCGAAATATTAAATGTACGAGCACTCGGCCCGCAGCGGTATAAACGTTGCAATCGTCCCGGCGAATAATTCCCGCGGCTGCACCCCGGCGCTGCACTTACCGGAGTAGTCGTATCTCTGCGGACCCATCCACCTAAATTTCTCGCTGTCCCTGATCACGTCCCCGAGATACCCATAACTGAGCACGCTGGCGTACAGCCTGAGGAGGTTCTGGTCGTTGTGCACGGAGGAGATATCGAGGCCGGTGCTGTCGCCAAAAATGATATGTATCGCGGCGGTCTGCACGTCGGTCGTACCGTGGAGGCTGTACGCGATCGTGTCCGTGCTGCCGCTCGGTATCACGCCGATCGGCATCGAGGGTGACGGTAGCGTAACGTCCGGATCGTTCGCGTCTATTTGCATGTCCCTGGTCGTCCTCAAGACCAGCCCGTTGATCACTTCCGCCAAGGTGCCGTCGCCGCCGATGCACACCACCGCCTGCACAACATCGATCGTTCCTCTTCAGCGAACGCTTCTCTTTTAAACATTTTCTGCAGCGCGATCTTTTACGATCGTTCGTAACCGCGCGCGGAATTGAATCTTTTAACGCGGAACTTACTACGACGATTTCGCGTGTTCTGTTTTCAAATTGTTGAAATTACGAACAGTTTCACAGGAGATGATTCAATTAATTTTTTCAGTTGCAACGTATATTATGTTAGAATAATAATCGCGAAAGATTTAACCGAAGTATAATTAAATTTTAATTCGATTAAATCAATTTTTGTTTCAATCAATTCGATTTTCATTCGATTTTTTAATTCGATCAATTCGATTTTCATTCAATTCTAATTTGATCAATTCGATTTTCATTCAATTTTAATTCGATCAATTCAATTTTAATTCACTTTTAATTCAACTAATTCAATTTTAATTCTACTAATCCATTTTTTTAATTCGACTAATTCAATTTTAATTCAATTATTCCACTTTTTTTAATTCAACTGATTCAATTTTAATTCAATTATTCCACTTTTAATTCAACTAATTCAATTTTAATTCAATTATTCCACTTTTTTTTTAATTCAACTGATTCAATTTTAATTCAACTAATTCAATTTTAATTCAATCAATTCAATTTTAATACAATTTTAATTCTACTAATTCAACTAAATCAATTTTAATTCAACTAATTCAATTTTTTAATTCAATCAATTCAATTTTTTAATTCAATTTTAATTCAATTTTAATTCTACTAATTCAACTAAATCAATTTTAATTCAATTTTGATTCAATTAATTCAACCAATTCAATTTTAATTCAATTTTTCGACTAATCAAATTTCAAATTAAAATTAAACTGTAATGTTCGTTTGATTATAGTTGGAATTTTATATATCGAAGACAAGGGGTGGGTTTTGTAACGAGCGATGGATCGGAGACACAAGACAAATCAATCAATTCTGATGTTATCGAAGTGAAATTGTTCGTAATCAGTCAAGATAACGTGCCATCGGATAAGTAACCTTTCTAGACTCTCTGTAAATAATTTTTCTATCCAGTTCTTAATAAAATATCATTCAAAGTGTTCGCCTGCCTCGGCTGAAGAACCTCGATTATCCGGGCTGAGAAGCGTGACATTAAATGTTCAGACAATAGAACACTTAGAGTAGAGGAGCCGATTAGCCACACCACAGTAACTGGCACCATACACCACTATACTTGGTTAAAGTGCCGGATGTTATCTTGATTGATTTGTACACTAAATCGTTTTGTGTATGATGCGGCTACGATTGATCCGATTACAGGTAAAAAGCATTGAACCCTGGAACCGTCGCGTGGGTTGTTTAACACCTCAGCCGTTTGTTTTATAATTGATGTTTCTTTATTTTTTAGCAAAATGCTAAGCTAGCAAGCACTTGGCTGTCAATAGCTGCATCAGCTTGTAATTAAGGCTGCTCGCTAACAATTAATTATGGCTTAGATTCCATTCAGTTTGAGGGGGTTGTCGAGCACCCCACGCGCCGCTTTATGTAACTTTAACTGACGCGCCCGGTCCAGGGCTGAATTACAGATGATTCTGTTATTGGAGAACCGGATAATCAAGGTTTCACCGTGTCACAAACGAACTCGCCACTGTAATCGCAAGGTAAGATTCGCCCTTACAACTTTGTTCTGCAAATATTTTCGGCCGAATGCCGAGATTCTTACGTGAAAGTCGCTTAGGTCAGCCGTGAGGAGGGTGTCCCTGGCATGGCCGTGTCTCTCGGTGACCAGCATCTTCGTCTCTATCCCCGCGATAGTCATCAGAGGCTGCACGTCCTTCTCCCAGATCTTCAACCCCTTCTTCTTGCCGCCGAAGGGATTAACGAACAGCAGTATCTTCCTGGGTCGTTGCGTGAGCCCTGAAAAACAAAGCGGGAGAAACCCTCATTTTTCTCGTCCGGTCGCCGGCAGCAGCAGCAGTAGCAGCCATATTGATTTTTCATACGGAATGGAATTCAGGGTTTCTTCGGAACCGTCACGCAGCGGGAGTGTGAACCGGGAGATCAATACTACAGCCACTCGGTTCTCTCCCGAGAGGCCGGTTTCGAAGGAGATTGCGTTACGGCCGCGACAAAGAACCGGCTCGATTGTGTTTCCGTTCGAGAACGTTTCCCTCGGAGCGAAAGTAATCGAACCGATGGCCGGTTAGATTGATTAGGGCCGCACGATAGCGTCGCTCGTCGAGAGTTCAGGGAGTCGCGAGTCCGTCGATTAACTTCTATCACGCTTCGCCCAGCTGTCCAACCGGCCACAACCCGCGAAACACGCAATTGAACAGCGTTCGTAGAAAATAATGTGGACGCCAGAATCGCGAAATTTTGTTCACTCTTCTTCAAATATTTTAGGTGTCATTCGGGTGTAATATCATTTTATAAATGGTTAAAAAAATTTTCGTTTTAGATAGGTTTGTCCACCGTCGCTTTTGTAGAAAACAATGCAAGTACCAATGCATCGTGTAAAACACAAGCAACGTGCGCTGCGAAAAGGCTTAGGTTTGAAGGGCATGCCACATGAACCTTCGTTGCCGGAGTGCACTTCAAAAGTAAGCATTGAAAAAGAAACGAGACCTCAAAGCTATGTTGGAATATGTGGATAATAAATGTCACAGTTTTTACGATAATTTACTTGAGATATCGTTAAATCAATTTTCTTGTAATACCTGCTAAGAAAATATTCGAACATCATATTACAGAAACATATTTCATATTTCCGAAAAATGTCTTTTACGAAAAAAGTGGAAATTTTTAAATTATCGATTAAAATAATACGAATAATAATGCATATTGTATATATTAATATACGCATGTATATTAATATAATTGTTAAGATTCTCCATACTTAACCCTTTGCGCTCGAAGCCTAATTAACGCAAAAAAATATTAAATTAAAATATAAATAAAATATAAGAGATTCAAATATGAAACATTTAAAATAGTTCTTCCGACCCATGGTTTTTCAATTTTATATGACCTAGTGCATTTTATGCATATGAAATTGTATATTGCGACCCACGCAAAAGCTCCGCTTTCAACAGCTCTTTAAATATTATTGGATTATTTTCTCTCTTTTGAATACTCAGAAGTTTTTCCTTCTAGCATATAAGTTACAAAAACGAATCGACGCCGAGAGTCTCGCCAGAGTACCATTAGATAAACAATGATTTCATATGTATATAGAACAGAGTGCTCTTTGTCTTTAGGTGACGTTTTTGGTTTCGTCTTTGTGAATAGTCTTCAGTCTCCTGGAGCAATCAGGAGAGTAAAGACGGTCCTTCCTCGTACATCAAATTAATAAACTAAAAGGGATAAGTTTAATTCACTGCGTTTTACTTTTATTTATCTACCCATTTCCAATAAATATAAACAAATTTGATTAATAAAATTATTTTGAGACGTGACATAACAATTTTTAATATCGCCTCGGAGTCGCCACTCGAATGTAAAAGGTTAAGCTGTAGTAATCATTATTCAAGAAACAATAACAAAAAATGCTGTGTAAGTTACGATTGTGCTAATGTTACATTCATTAATGTTTAATGTTTGTAAATTACGTTAATTAATGTTACATTAGTTTGTAACATCGACGCGCCTCTTTGCTGATCCCTTCTATCCGATTTACTGTTTAGAATCGCGTTGTTTAATAAACGATAGATGCTGTTACCAAATAATTCGATGAAATTCGGTTAACGATCGTCTCGATTTTTGCGAATCGCGTGCCGCGCCGTGCGCCAAGACAAACGAAGTCGCCCGTCCGGGCTCGCCTTTGTGCCGGAGGCGGCCCGTTTGAAGTATCGACCGTGACCTTGGCGGTCGCGGCTCTTGAATCGCGAGGAATTGATCGACGGAACCGGTTTGCACGAAATCGTTCCAACGTCCCGCGCGATTCCACGCGGCGTACGACAAAAATTACTGGCATTGTCCGGGCCGTTGTTGTTCACCGGGACAACCGGGTTAGTTATTCCTGGTGATGTTCCAGCGAAATGGTCGTTAAAATTCCTCGGATGCCGACGTTTTAACACCCGAATGCCCGCTAAACTCTCTGCAAATAGGTTTTGAACAATCGGCCGTGATCGTAGATCGCCGGCTCATGCATTAAAGAAGATTTCCTCCGGCCAGACTTTCCGATACTAATTTATACGAACACGTAATCTGCTTGCGTGCGACTCTCAATCAAGTTTTTCTGCCGGCTGCAGCCGCGATTCTGGATCACGTGTAGGGTCACGGGAGAACCGGTCTTTCGTTGAATATTCGATCAAATTTTATCGCGATCGCAGCAATACGTTATGAATTCGTGAAAACTTGATTCATTCGAGGTTTCCTTTTAATAACCCTTATCGGACGTGTGTCGCGACCCACGTGTCGCTTGAATATCTGACGTCTAGCAAGGGTCAATCTATCCGGTAGAACAGTGAAACGTTTGATTTAACCCTCCTGTCACGCTTTCTATGCGAAACATTCGCGTCGTGCAGGATCGTTCGGACGCGGATCGATTTTCAAAGAATTGTCGTTCGGAAACTAGCAACACCGTCGACACCGAAAAATTTGAGAATACGATTCGAACGTCCTGGAACATCGTTTCCCTCGCCGGAACTCGATATCGCGCTGCCAAGTATGTATATTCGATTAATCGTTAATCTCGTTCCTCTCGTGACAGCGTCGCTTGAAACAAAATGTGGGGCACGTTGTCACGGTGCGACAGCGGAGGGTTAATCGGAGCTTTTCTTTTAACACGTTCCGTGCCGAGCTTTTTTTACTCGAATCTTCACACTTTGATATTTTACTAAAACTTGATGTATTACGTGCAATTATTAATTCTCGTACACATAACAACGTAACAAAAACTTATCAACGCCCTTTCTTGCGGTGGAAATTGATTCTTCGGTTCTAAATTTCTTGTAAACAATTTGTTCAGTTCACTAAGTAAACATGCAAGCGTGTACCATCGATGGTACACGTGGCACGGAACGTGTTAACGGCGATTCGGTAGATCCCATCGCGGTGGTAATAAAGTCTTGTGTCGAAGTTCATCGAGTCGCCGAGTCTATGCACTTAAGCGGCGAAGCAAATTGCGTTTAACAAACGGGTGAGGTCGAGTGCTTATTGAGTCAGGCCGGCGGCGTTAGGCGTAGCATGTGTTACAATTTAATCTGGGTTACGACTAAATCAGATATCTGTTGGGGCAGGGTCAGATCTAGATCGAGATGGATACATATTCGTCTGTGCGTAGCGTGCAGGTACAGTCCGCCGCGAAAGCGTGCGAAATTCTCGCGATTTTAGAGTTCCCGGGGCGGGGGGGGACTTCGAATTCGAGCGAATTTTTCGCAGTTGTTCGACGAAACGAAACGATCGGGACAAAGAATGGACACGGGAGCCGATTTGGCGCAGACTTTTAGGACAGGCTGTGCGGATCGGCGCACGTTCATCGGGCGTTTAACGTCGCGAACCCGACGTAACAAGCCGACTTAATTAGCCGAATCTCCATTTTCGTGGGAGCATCCGTCGTCCCTGACGAAAAAGCCGGGTAGACCGCGCGCGGGAGGTGCTAGACCGAAAATAGCTCCTTATTTGGGCAACAAAAACTGCACGTGTGTGCACACGGCCGAGTGGTTACGTGCTCCTCCTTTTTTTTCTCTCTCTCTCTCTCCTCTCCCCTATCCGTTGAATGAGGATGACGTAAAAGGCCACTCGCCTCGGGCGCAAAATCGTGGAAAAAACATCGCATCGCGGCATGGCACGGAGCTCGGTGCTCGCAGCCTCGAAGTGAAAAATTTTCCAAGAGAGATCTCTGTGAAGCCGTCGCGGTCTCCTACTCGCACTTAGACCACTTCTTCTCGTACTCGTTACTCGGCATTCGCACGTCACCGCACAAGCCTTACGCGATAATCGAAACGCCGCGCGTTGCGACGTTTCTTAATTGTTATATTATTATTTTCCTTCAGCTTCTAAATAAAAATAGACAATTTTGGAAGAGGAGATACGATTGTTCGAACTTCGACAATTATAAAAACGAGATGCAAGGCTCGAATAACCGTATCTCCTTTTCTCAAATTGTCCATTTTTGTTTACAGTCCGAAGGAAAATTAGGGAGAATTTACCGTATTCCGTCAATTATTTTATGCGAAAATTTATGTTACTAAATTCATGTCGCCAAGTTTATATTAATAAATATATGTTGCTAAATTTATGTTACTAACAGTTGGACTGCGGCTCTATATGCAAAGTAATAATTTGCTGTTGAAATTGCAATAAACAGGAACAAGATAGAAATGTCGTTCCTTGTTCCAATAGTTTTATTGTATTGATAATAATGTATAGATAATTTTAAGTTCGTTCACTCTTTCTGTTGTCTCAAATTTTACCAACCTATTTTTATCATGATTGCATATATATATAAAATTCGCAATTTATTAACAGTATTAAAATACAACCATTTTGATGGAAAATTGATATACGATTTTTATTATCGATATATGTACTCGTTACGCTGTGCGCCGAGCCGCGCCGTGCCGCCACGCGATGCAACATGCAAACCGATGCACCGTGGAAATGCATTTCGTGCACGCGCCTCCGGCGATTCGTAGTGCATCGCTGAAGGCGACAACGTCACACGTGCAAGGGCACGACACTCGAGACGATAAGATCCTTAATCAACGGAATTTAACGGTCCCGGACTCGGAAATCCAATTTTTATCATTTTCGTTGCCATTCTTTTTTACGTTAAGTTCCAAACGCCACCGTCGTCGTTATCTCGCACTATTGCACTTCTATGCAATCATTTTATCGTGTTAACTGCAGCGACGTTTCAATACGTAATCCATATTTATGAAATGCTTGATGCTGGAATATTTAATTGTATACTG